GGCAGGGTCTGTGTGGGATCATAATTGGGATCAAAGGTGCCCTAATGTGGTTTCCAGCCATGAAGATTAAACAGACTCTGATGTCTTGTATCATAACTTTTTTTGTGTGTGTCATGTACCCCCACAGCCCCATTGCTAGGGCTCAAGTACCCCTTCATCAGCCAAAGCAGAAATCTCTTTCTTTTATCATCTAGCATTTATGGATCATATAGCATTTATGAAAAAAAAAGAATTATTATATTATATTATAATTATAATATATAATTATAATATAATGAATAATTTAAATATTATATTATTATAATTATTTAAATTAAAAATTATTTATACACTACCATCCCGAGCGCTGCCACACACCTGCACGGCACAGACGCAGGTATGCTGGTGTTAGTTTTGACCGTTAGAACTAATGTGCGAATGAGCTGACAGCTAATCGTGACCCGAGTGACTGTTATCAGGTTTGTTTGTATATTGCTTTTATGGTGCATTTTCAAGCAGCGTAACGGACATCCAATACTATGTTGTGAATGGTATCAATTACTGTGCTAGAAATCCATAATTCTAGTCTCATCTTAAGTTCTTTAGTCCCCCAGTGAGAAATTTGAATACAGCTGATTATTAAAATAAAATTCATTTCATTTCATTTTTAACTTGAATTTAGTTGGTTTATTATATTATGGTATATTGTAAGCGTTTAATTTTAGTGAAAATTATTGAAGGTTTTTTATAATATTTATATAACACTGTAGTAATGCCTTCTAAAATTTAAATATTAGATATAACATTTATCTTTTAATGTATTTTAAAATGCACTTTTTTTCCTGTGATGGCAAATAGAAAACAATTAAATTGTAATAGCATTTCACAACGTTACTATTTTTACTGTAATTTTTTTCTTCAGATATAATGGGGAGCATAAAAGACTTGACACTGTATATGTGTGTGTAATATATATATATATATATATATTAAGCAGACTCTTAAGATGTCTTGTATCATAACTTTTTTTGTGTGTGTCATGTACCCCCACAGCCCCATTGCTAGGGCTCAAGTACCCCTTCATCAGCCAAAGCAGAAATCTCTTTCTTTTATCATCTAGCATTTATGGATCATATAGCATTTATGAAAAAAAAAGAATTATTATATTATATTATAATTATAATATATAATTATAATATAATGAATAATTTAAATATTATATTATTATAATTATTTAAATTAAAAATTATTTATGCATCTTTTTTCTTGCAGAGAGAAGTTAAGAGTTTCTCACAATTCAGACTTTTTTTCCTCAGAATTGCAAGTTTGCATCTCCCAGTTTTGACTTTCTCGGAATTGTGCATCTCGTAGTTCAGTTTTTTTTATTCCAGAATTAAAATAAAATAAATAACTGAATTAAAAAACAAAATAATAAATATTATATTAAGTATTAAGTAGTATTAATAATAAAAATGTAATAATAATAATACTTTTTATTGTAATTATAATCAAATGGTACAACTGTAGATATATCCCATTAACACAGCAAAGTAAAAGATATGAATGATATGAATTATATATTTTAAAAAGGAAATTGTAAGTTTATATCTTACCATTGTCACAATTTCACAATTTTTTCTTCACAATTCACATTTTTTTTTCAGTCGCAATTCAAAAGTTTGAATTGTGAGATAAACTAAATCGTGAAACAGAATTGAGAGAAGTCTAAATTGTTACAGAAAAAAATAATTAGAAATAAGCTTCCATAAACATGTACCTTAACTGAAGTGGCAGTTTTTTGTTTTTTTTTGATGGTTCATTAATAAATCAAGCATCAACACTCTTTGTTCATCATTTTTGTTTCTGTGTGTACGTTAGCTCCCTCAGGGTACAGTGCCGGTGTCATATACAGTTTCTCCAGTGCCGCCCCATGGTCTACCTGCCCCCCTCTGTACGGGACAGCATCTCCCAGCATGCTCTTCCCAACAGCAGGTGCCTGCCTGTTCTGTGATCTTCAGCGGACAGCAACACTATCCAATCTGTAGCGTACCGCCTCCTGTAAGTAAATATCAAGCTGTGAAAAGGCATAGCTGTAATTGATTTTTGTGAGCTCATTTGATTTGTTTGAATCTGCTGTCCTCCAGTGGTGGCAAGTTGTTACATTCCTGTTTTAGTCTTTGAGGGTGCAGTCCATTATAATGGTCTGTAACTGATGGTCTAATATCTGTTTATTTGTTTGACATGCAGATGTTGCCGGCATGTTCGGTGCAGCATTTGCCAGTGCCGTACGCCGCGTTTCCTTCTCTTCTCTCCAGTGATCCACCCTTCCTGCTTCATCCTCCACATCTGTCACATCATCCACCCCACCTGCCCACTCCTGGACAGTTCTTACCTTTCCAGACACAGCAGTCTCGATCTGTGAGTATACAATCACATGTACACAGAGTTTTATATGTATTAAAATATTCATACTATTAATGACATATCTGTATTTTTTTGTTGTTGTTGAGAGAAATCTTTTATGCTCACCAAGGCTGTATTTATTTGATCAAAAATACAGTAATACTGTGAAATATATAAAAATAGAAAACAATAATTTAAATAAACGGTTGAAAACAGTTGTGTGTATTTATGTGGAAATTTAAAAAAAAGCTTAAAAGACCAGCATTTATTTGATATAGATTAGGGCTGTCAAAACGATTAATCGCGATTATTCGCAACCAAAATAAAAGTTTGTTTACATAATATATGTGTGTACTGTATATATTTATATGCATATATAAATGCACACACGTACATGTATATATTTAAGAAGTATATGTAATATTTATATTTATATATATTATAAAATCATACATAAATATGAACATATATCTACTCATGTAAATATTTCTTAAATATATACATGTATGTGTGTGTGTTTATATATGCATATAAATATATACAGTACACACACATATATTTTGTAAACACAAACTTTTATTCTGGATGCGACTAATCACGATTATGATTCCATCCATCCATCCCCCCACACATATACCACCATTTAATATATAAAAATATTTTAAATGGATTCATATATTAGAAGTTTTATAATACATACATAATTTATTATGTGTGTAAATATTTATATAAAAACTTGTATAAATGTTTTTTTTGTTTTTTTTTTACTATAGTTCTGCCAAAAAATGTTTTTTAAAATTGTTAGTATTAAATATGCATGTTTGTTTTTGTGAATAGCCACTGCAGAGGATAGAGAATGAGGTGGAGTTGTTGGGGGATCACCTGTCGTTAGGTGGAGGGTTTAACTATCCTCACTCGGGGCATCCTAGTCCTCTGCCCCCTTCCACTCCACTGCAGTTCCTCTCCCATGAACCCCTGCCACAGGAGCTCTTTGGAATGGTGAGTGATCTTCACGCTTTATCACTTCTGCTCAATGCAGTCGAAACAAGGTAATGAAGGTTTTATGTGTTTTTCCTGTGTGTTCTCTCCAGCCCTATCCACACTTCATACCTCGACGAATCACAGGCAGACGCTACCGCTCTCAGCAGGCCATACCTCCACCTCCTTACCACCCAAGTCTGCTGCCCTACTTCCTGTGAGTTACACATGCAAACATGCACCAGAGTGTTGTGCTGGAGAGCCAGCGAGCTGGAGAATAATAATGTCACTGTTTTGTTTCTGTTTGGTGGGCCAGATCTGTTCTTCCAGTCCAGCCAACAGCAGTGGGTCCCACCATTAGCTTAGAGCTGGATGTAGATGATGGAGAGGTTGAGAATTATGAGGTGAGAGTCTCTAGTTATCTCAGGAAACACTTACTAATAATGCTTCAGATCCCATTTTAGGCATACTTTTGTTTCATTATTCTGTTTTACATGTGCTTTTGTTCTTGTGTTTGACTAGGCTCTGTTAAACCTTGCCGAGCGTCTCGGAGAAGCGAAGCCTAGAGGTTTGACAAAGGCCGATATCGAACAGCTGCCTTCCTACAGATTCAACCCCAGCAACCATCAGTCTGAGCAGACTTTGTGAGTACAAACTTACAAACAAACTACTTATTGGGGCAGTCGTGGCCTAAAGGTTAAAGAGTCGGTCTTGTAACCCGAAGGTTGTAGGTTCAATTCTCAGTACTGGCAGGAAATATAGTGGCGCTTTTCCACTGCATGGTACGGCACGGTACGGCTCGGTACGGTTCACTTTTGGGGGGTTCCGCCCACTCTAAAGCGGTACTGAACTGCAGTGGAAACGCAAACCGAGCCAAACCGAGCCGTGCCGTGCCGTACTGTACTGAGCCGTACCAAGCCGTACCGAGCCGAGTCGTACCACGCAGTGGAAAAGCGCCATAGGTGGGGGGAGTGAATAACCAGTGACCTTTTAATAATTGAGAGACTTCATATTGAATATGTTTACTCTTTAAAAAAACAACAAAAAAAAAAAAACTATTACATCACCTAAAATAGACATGTTTGCTTTGATTTTTTTAAAAATGTTTTAACAAAATCTTGATGTTGGATAAAAGTATTATAGTAATTAATATTATTTCCCCCCTCTCTCTATAGGTGTGTAGTGTGCATGTGTGATTTTGAGTCTCGTCAGCTGTTGAGAGTTCTGCCCTGTAATCATGAATTCCATGCCAAGTGTGTCGATAAATGGCTTAAGGTAAGGAAACAAGCTTGCATATTAATTTATTACACTTAATAATATTTCATTAATTTTATTTATTTATTTTATTCATTTATTATTAAAATCTTTAATAATATTATTTAATAATAATAATAATAATGTGTCATTGTTATTATACCCATTCAGTGGTTCTCAAACTTTTAACTCAAAGGCCCCCATTGTCAAACACAATTTTTTTTTTTTCTTTTCTTTTTTTTTTATACAAGAATTTAATTTAAAGCAACCGATATTAAAGTGAAAAAATTTATTAAAAAATATATTTTAATTTATAGGAGGTACATTTTTTCTTTTTTGTCTACCATAAATTAGAGTTAATTTATTTTACTATATTAATAATTTAAATTATTTTTAGTCATCAATAGAGAATTTAGTGTCAGGGCCAAATATTGCCCTATACAGATTTTGTTGATCAAGTTAATCATGCAAATTTGTCTCATTGACCAACAGAAAGCTGCTTAGTTTGAAAGTGACGATTTACGTGAGCTGTGCTTCATGCATCACTACACTATTGACAATAGACAGTGGACCTTTTTTTGCCCACAAAATTTAGCTACAGTGACTGCACCTTTACACAGACAGACTTGCCTAACTACAGCTTGTCTCCAGTTATGATCTACACATTTCTTAGACCTTTATGAAAATCTATCCTCCTCTGTCTTCTAGGCTAACAGAACCTGTCCTATTTGCCGAGCAGATGCATCTGAAGTCCAGCGGGATTCCGAGTGATGCTGCTCACTGAACACACACACACACACACACACACTCTCTCACACACACACACATACACACCACTAAACACTTCAGTCATTCTCCTACCGTTACATTCAATTAACTTCCACATGCATAATTACTCCTCACACACAAATGACCGCTGCAAAAGATTCATGAAAACTTTATGCATCGAAATCAGCGTTTGATATTCATCTATGAATATCCAACTAACTGAGACACATACACACACACACACACACACACACACACGCACACACACACATCCCTTCGGTTTTTTGATCACTAATTCTTTGAGTGGAAGTCCAAAGGTAATGGTTCATATTATCATTCTGGTCATGTTCTGGTTCTGATTTAGTTTTTTTTTTATATATAAATATATATAGTTTAGTTCTCCCCTTCGGGGGGCGGGTGTTGGTATGTTGCAGTCTTGTGTGTGTGTGTGTGAGTGAGTGTGTGTGTGTGTGTTTGTGCACTAACATTCCCAGCTATGTGAGCACACTGTGGTGTGGTGGTCTTTACGAAGATTAATGTTGTGAGCATGGGCTTTTATATTTTACCAACAAATATAGCTATATATAAATATGTATGTATGTATCCATATAGAGGGACAAATTACAAAATTCTTAATTTTTTGGTTTGTTTTTTAAATAGGAAAAAAAATTATGGAAGTCTGTCTTTTTTTTTAAAAATGGAACAAAAGATTCAAATTATATCTATACATAAAGCGGGGATTTTGGGTGGGTCTTGCTCAATTATGATTTAACAGTCTTTATAGAATTCGAAAACTGTGAGGTGCGTGTGTGTGCTTTTGTGTGAAAGAGAGTGTGTGTGTGTGTGTGTGTGTATATTCGAGAATCAGTTGTTTGTTATTTATCCCATATGTGTGGTACAGAACACTGGCTTGTCGCTCTCACTTTTATTCTCGTCTGGGATTGGCTGAGGATGCGCACTGACATGACATGTGATTGGTTTGGAGGGGCAGTGAAATATTCTCCAAGTTCTTATTAGATGTATCCTGCTGCAACCTTTTTTCTTTCTTCTGCTGTCTTACGTTTTTCAATATTTTCAACACAAATAACCTTTTAAAACCATTAAATGTGTATTCCCAATCCATAGCCAGTCCTGATTATGTAGACAAATCCCCACTTTTCTCATTTAGCACTTAGAGCACCATAGTGTCATTTATATTATTATTCGCCTTAAAGGGATAGTTCAAAATTTTGTTTTTCTCACCCTCCTCTATGGATTTCCTCCTTTTGTTGAACCCAAAAGGTATTTTGAAGAACGTTGGTAACCATACAGTTGCTGGTAGCCACTGACTTCCATAGTATTTTTTTTTTTTTAATTCCAAACTATGGAAGTCAATGGCTACCAGCAGCAAACATTCTTCAAAATATCTTCTTTTGTGCTCAACAGCTGAGAGAAACTCTTACAGGTTTGCAACAACTTGAGGGTAATTCAAATTTATAGTAAATGATGATAAAATTTTCATTTTTGGGGGAACTATCCCTTTAAGACTTGCATTTCTTAAAAATAGCCATTCTCCAAGTTTCATTTATTCGAATTATTCATATGCCAGCTAACCTTGTTGCAACCCACATTACTCTCGACTTTACCAAAATTAGCTGTCATTTGTAATTTGGGTCGTCATTTGATTTCATATGCCTTAAAATTGTGTGTACATGCCTGTTTGAAGAGGACTGATTATATCGTAGCATTTCCGTTTCTTTAAAAAGGGAAACGCACAGATTCTGCAGGACAATATGGAGGGCAACACAAACACCCCTTGCGAATTGCAGCGTTTTAAGTCCCTCAAAAGCTCTGGTCTTAGTAAACGGTTTATGCTTCTTGTCCTTTCATTTGCTCTCTCACTGCCCTCTCTATACAGTTAGCTATTCTTTTTAATACAGCCTTCCAGTGCACCCACTCATACAGCCTCGATAAGGCTGTTATAGCCATTCATAGCCATGTGCGTTACTTTATAATGAATGCCTGAGATGTGTTATGACCTAGAGGGATGTTTGTGTGTATGATTATTTTCTGTCATGCGTTGTTATCATTATGAATGGATATAACTGCCTCTGTGTCGCATTATGTAGGCTCTATGACTGGTGTAGAAAGTGTCATATGAATTCTGTGATGTAGTCTCCGAGCCTGCAGTGTCTTAATGAGAGATGCCTTTAAACCATTCTCCAGTGTTGTCCGCTTTAGTGTCATGAGTCGAATTCATGACCAGAAAATGATGAATTCTTTATTCTTTGCAAACAACAAATGTGCATTACCTTACTTAACCATTGGCATTCTGTGTTATAGAAGTTTTTTTTTTCTATTCCCCCTGCTTGATACAATAGCAGTTACCTCAGTTTTACTATTTATGTTTTTTCCCCTTATTCTTTTGCAACGCCAATAAGAGAGCTTATGAATTCTCTTGCGTTTGTTTATTGGTTGTTTTAATTCTTACCATTAAAAATACAATTGTATCATTTAACATGTTGTAGTTTCATATGTATAATATCTGTAACCAAAATCATTTGAAGGCTTGATATAAACATTTTTAACAAACATTTGTACTTTTTTTTTTTTTTTAATGAGAGATATTACTAGTAATGCTTTACTAAGTAGTGCAAATTATTTCTTTTTCTTTGTCTCTGACCCCTATTCCCAGTCTTTTGGATTTTTAAGGGTGGCTCAGTAATAAATGTATAATGTTCTCTTCCTTGACTTTCTCTGTTCTTTACTTTTTCCATCCATTCTTATCTTATCTTTTTATCTTTGTTGTCTTCATTCTCATGTTCAAGTTTTACTGCTTAAAGGAATATTCCAACCCCTTCAAAAATGGAAAAATGCCATTTACACTGAAGAAAAAAAAGTCAAAACAGTTTTTACGTAGAAATTGCTAATAAGTTTCACAATGAAGCATCATGAAATTCTGAAAAAGACTGAAATAATATTTTCTTATAAAACACTCCAGTAATCTTCGCGGGGCATAGAGGAGAAACAATAATGTACAGTATGTGGAAAATAATGTGTTTTTTGAACCTTAAACCGCATAAACACATTTCATTACACCAAATACACAAAATAATGTTCTTTTTAGCAGCAACATATGACCCCTTTAAAAGGCAAGATTTCTGGAGAATATCAACTTCAAGACTTTGAATATGATCCACTTTCGCTGTATGAAAAAGTGCAGCTCAGACATTCTGATAAACATCTGTTATGTTCAACAGTAGTAGTAAAGTCATATAATGTAGGCTTGGAATGACATGAGGGTGAGCAAATTATGACACAAATTGTATTTTGGGGTGAATTATCCCTTTAACTTGTCAGGGATGTTCTGTATACATGCAGAAATGCATCCATAACATTTTAAAATGTCACACTCATCAGTAGATAATTAAATCCACCACTGGTTGCCACTGGTATCAAGTTTGATTGGACAACAAAAGCTATAAAGCTGCTTTATACAGACGTTTTAAGTCTGATGCAGCATTTAATTTACTCCAAACCAAAATATCTGGTTGTGTCTGCAAGCAGTGTCTAGAGAGCAACCCAGTATGCTGCTGCATCTAGCCATTAGCTAAAGATGATATGTAACTACTCAGTCAGATTGAAAATGCTTTCAATTGTTAATCAAGTTCTATAATCTCATTTGAGCTCTATATGCTTGGAAGACTGCATCACGAAAGCAGCATGAGTTTTGCAACAGTTGATTCTCTGTGCTTGCAGCCAAAACAAAGCCCCAAAGTTGGAGTCTCTTTAATTCTAGTTAGATGCGGATCTATGGAATAATTACAGGCAGCAGAAAACGAAGAGAAACAGTTGCATAAATTCTGATACATCAAAAGCCAGCATATAGTTGCCCTGCCACTTAGTCCAGTCATTTGTCCAGAACTTGTTTCTGGATGTAGGTGTTGTCTTTATTCTCTCCTGTGCCTCTCATCTTCATCTTTAATATCAAGCAAGGAAGGAACATTTGTTTACTCTCACTCAGTAATACAGCACCTGATGTGATATTGAAAGTGTAGAAATGGCAAATGCTAATTGAAAACAGCAACTGTGAACTGGGAATAATGGCACATAACGTTCACAAGACAATCCGCACAGAAAGTCTTGCTAACAAGGTCGATATAAGGGGCTCCGTAATATAATGACTACCTCTGACTCCGAGGAAGAAATTTCACTGGATTTCCGTAATGTTTGCAAGATTTGTGGCATTGCCTGAGGCATGTAGGCCTGATAGCAGATTTGCAACTCCAGATAAATGGTATTTTACACTCACTGATAAAGAAACGATTGCTTATCAAATAATACAATTCAAAAATATCATCCATCTGTGACTGCGTTTATTGTTTGTCCCTGTGCTTGTTCGTATAAAAAGATTGAATGAAATTAATTTGTAACAGGGATAGCACACATGACGTCAAAGCAATATTCATAACGTACAGTAAATAAAAGTTATTGACTACAACAGCTTGTTTGTCTGTTGTAGTCAATAAACGGATAATATTGCTATATAGAATAAGGGATTCCCATGAGGAAAAAAAAGTCCTTCCTGCAGAGGGTGCATGGCGACTAAGAGAAGAAAAATGGGACTCAGCCAGCCAAAGCTGGAGTGTAATGACACCTATTGGTCATAATATTTCAGTCCTGATTCTGGGGACACACAGCACTGCATATTTGGTATCCCTCTTTAATCTGACACATTCAGTTCAGCTCATGAAGAAGCCTGATCTCAATCAGATGTTGAATAAAGGACACATACAAAATGTGCAGAGTTCTGGGTCCCCAGGAATAATGCTGTAATATTTTTTTGTAATGATTTTCATAATTCTGAACAAACCCCTAATTGAAGACATATTTAAATGTAATTTCAGTAGGAACGTTTTCCACGCACAGATTTTGAAGCTGCTTGGTTTGAAAGTGACTTCAGTGTGAGCTGTTTCATATATCACTACACTATTAGCAATGGGCCTCATTTTGCCTGTGAAACTTCACTGATGTGACTGCACCTGTAAAAATGGCACACTGTACAAAGGTCAGAAATGAACCATGGGGCAAAAATACCACAGACATTTCAAATGCTGGGGGAGGAATAATGCCAAATATAGTGCACTACATTCTTTAGATTTTTTAAATCTGTTCTCTAAATATTTAATGTATTGCGCTTTATTCTAGTCCTGTATCTAGATAGGCTAATATATTAAATGTATTCTAGCAGAGTGTTTGTCTTTTGATACATAATAAATTATTAATGGCGACTATGTGTGATGATTTGATTTTATAGGTAACAGTAATTGAGTAGCTATTTATTTCAATTAATTGATTCAAGGGTCAAGTATACTTGATATAGATGAATAATATAAGGTTTGATTTTATATGGTTAGATATAAAGTCCTCAAGGAAAAAAAAAAAAAAGAATCTGTAATAAATTTCAGAGGACAATTAAAGCCTTTTATAACATTTCTCACACTGTACTGAGCACGGAAACAGTCTTTTCTGTTCATCCGTTCCAATTGCATAATTCTAGAAATCTCTGTCTCCCTCTATCCATGGGTTTACAACTTTTTCCAATTATGAATCAACCTAAAATTCGTGCAATGTTTTTGTATTTTCTTCAGGAAACGCAAATCTAGTTTTACTTTATATTAATAAACTTATTGAAATAGAGGGTGAAAGACAATATATAGTTATGTTTAATTTAATAGAATATAGAGAGCGAGCGCGAGAAAGAGAGATAGATGTCTGGCCGTAACTGGAGCGGTAACGGAACTGCTCTATTGTTCTCGTTAAATTCCTTTCCCCCGCGCTCTCGCGCATGCCAGTCTCCCGTTCTGTAGGAGAAGAGACAGGGAGGCTGATGCGCTCGCCTGGCTGGGCTCTACGCATTGGCTGAACGGAGACCTCTGGTGTTTTTTTAGCTTATATTTTTAGCAGCGGAGGTCGGACTCGTATTGCATCGCGCGTGGTTCATCTGCAGTGCTGCTGCGCGCTGGAGAACCGCAGTGTGTTGCGCCGTGAACGCTCGAGCTCAGCATACTGAACGTGGCCGCTGCAACGGCGAATGCGCTCGAGTAAACACGCAGTTCTGTCTGTTTGCGGAGCGCTGGATATCTCATCTAGGCTTTCTTGTTAAGTCCTTTTTTTTTTTTTTGGAAATGGCCAGTCCCGGAGACGATTCGGCTTCAAATGCCCAGCTGGATCAAGCTGAATCTGCTGACGCTACGCCAGAACCAGCGTTTCAAGAAGCTCAAAAATGGATCGAGGTGAGCTACCCGTCCATACATGCGCGCAGAGGTGGAAGTAAACATTTCTTTC